ATTTTATTATTTTTCCCATAATATTTATATATAGTTTAATTTATTATATAGTTATTAATTAATTTGTATAGTTTAATATTTATTTCAGTTTTAGATTGAATGATTTTAGTATTTCACCTTATTTATTTGCAGCCCTAGTTTATACTATCGTAGTATTTATTTATATTTTGAATGATCTATTTTATATGGTCAGTTTTCATTTTTATTTTAGTAATTTTGTTATGTGCTTTTGTCATTTTTTTCTGTATTGCTTTAATTAGTTTCAGTTTTGAGTAATTTTAGTATTTCAACTTCAAAAATGTGCCAAGGCAACATTTCTAATTTTCATTGAAGTTTATCATCTAATATTTATGTTTTATTTTATTTTATTTTATTTCAGATTTAGTTCAGTTACCCAAAATGGTTTTAATAGTTTTAGTGAACAATAACAACACCACTGCAGATTACATTTGCTTAAGTCTTTGCTGTAAGTCATTATAATAACGAACTAAACATAAGGACATGAAACACCTTAAGTTGTCTTTAAGCAAGACGACAGGGTATTTTCAGCCAGCAGCTCGGGCTGACTTGGAAACAAGTGACCGCGATTTGTGTCATGGTCTCGTTAAACATGCCTCAACACATTCTTGATTGGATGCAGCACTGGATTAATTAGAAGCGACGTGTCGGCGCCATCAGCTCTTTCTGCATGCGGCCTCAGATCTGTTAATCAACCGCTCACTCAGTCAGAGAGAGAGAGAGTTAGATAGTGAAAAATCACCATATTTTATATGTAATTTTCATTTTAAAATCCTCAAAGGATGTTTACTAGTTTTTCCTGCCAAAAAGCACCAAAAAGAGCAAAAATGAGGCCTTCTCAAAGGAATCCAGCAAGTGAGGGGTGCCGTCATTAAGCAGGAAATGCAGGGCTCAAACTAAGGCAGGACAACAAGTTGTATTTTCATTACAGCATGTGTTATACCACTTCAACTCTCTGGCTATTCAGAGACTTTTGATATATGTATGAGAATGTAAGCGCTTCTACAGTCACTGTCGGATCTCATAAACATCTAAAGAAAACAGGAAAAGTAGGTTAAGAACTGATCATAGTGAAGGAGATATTGGGAGAAATCTAACTTGCTAGATCGATATAATGGTCAACATTTTTTATGTTTTAGTTTTGTCATCTTGACTTGTGTCTGGGTCAAAATAGGGCTTCTTATCAAGTTACCAAATAGGTTCAGCTGTTCAGGAGAAGATCTGAAATAGACTTTAAGCAAGATCTTAATCATTGATTTGTTCCAAACCTGCAAAGAAAATCATTTTAAATGTTTTTATACACAGAATATATGTATATATTAGTGGGACCTTCTCTTATATTTATTCTAGAATATATATACATAAATATTTATCACATTTATTTATTTATGGTTTAGTATTTATTCTAGAATTATTTCAGATTTTACAAAAAAAGTTAGGTTGGTAAGATTTTTTTATGTTTCATGCTCATCAAGGCTGCATTTATTTGATTGGAAATACAGCAAAAACCATAAAATATTGTGAAATATCACAATTTTAAATATCAGTGTTCTATTTGAATATATTTTAAAATGTAATTTATTCCCATGATGCAAAGCTGAATTTTCAGCATCATTACTGCAGTCTTCAGTGTCACACGATCCTTCAAAAATCATTCTAATATGATTTGCTGCTGAACATTTCTAATTATTATCAATGTTGAAAAAATTTGTGCTGCTTAGTAATTTTTTTTTTTTTTACTTTGATAAATTTTTTCCAGTATTCTTTACTGAATAGAAAGTTCAAAAGAACAGCGTTTGTTTGAAATGTATTTTTTGTAACATTATAAATGTCTTTACTGTCATTTCAATTTAATGCATTCTTGCTGAATAAAAATATTAATTTCTTAAAAAAAAAAAAAAATCTTACTGACCCCAAACTTTTGAAGTTTTTTATTTATTTCAGTTAGTTGCCAAGGGAATATTTCTGCTTTTATTTCATTTCAGCTTTATTTCAATTACTGAAAATAATTTTAAATTTTAGTTAAAAATAACAGCACTGCTTCAGATTCCATTTGGACCTAGTTATTAATGTGGAAAACAATTCTGAAGAAGTTCTTTTGTTATTATTTACTGTTTATACTAGGGCTGCACGATTAATCGCATGGGATATTTAACGCGCATCTATGTTAAAAAAAAAAAAATCTTACTGACCCCAAACTTTTTAAGTTTTTATAGTTGTACAAAATGTCCAGAATTTATTTTTTTATGTATTTTTTTCTCTTAATTGTTCTGTATTACATTTCTATGATTATTAATTACATGCATTTTACTATATAAATATTTTTTGTTTGTTTAGTGTTTATTCACAAAATCAATTTCTGTATTTAATTATTATCATAAATATTCCATATTATTTTATTCTATTTATTTATTCACATTTTTGCTAAAACTTCACTGGATGACACCGACCTCTAATTGCGTAGCCGGTCCACTATAGTCTCCTTTAGAATGACTTCCTGAAAACTCAAAAAATCTGAGTGAGTGGCATGGCAACCAAGTTTCTCACCCCCATGCAGAGGCAGCGGGGGGTGGACAAGAGTGACCGGCCCACATTTATCAGTCTGGGGTTGAACAGAGTTGCACAGCATGGGAGAGGCATACCTTTGTCCCGTGGGTCAGAATAGGGCAAGAGGAAGGTGAATGCGGCGACTAGATTGCATTTGTGAATCATGTAAGTGCGGATATGCAACAGTTTGTCAAAACACCTTTGTGTTAAGGTTACTTCTGTTCCCCCAGCCAACAAAACGCAACTTCCATTTCCTTTCACGAAGGCTGCGGGGCCGTAAAAGATCAAAGCAAACAGAGTTGCCTCTAAGAAAAACTGAAAACGTATTCAAAGCTGTTACTAATTTCACTTTCTCAACTCATAAACCAGTCTTTTTTTTTTTTGTCATCTAACCTTCTTGCTTTTTTCAGAGCAGGAGGGTCTTTCCATCTTCTGGGAATAAGAACATCTGGGTTTGTGAGAACTAGAAACCTTTGGAACTGGTCTGCACTTTTCCTGTGTGAAGAGATCGAACTTTTCCTCCCCTTTTTCATGTCTTTTCCGTCGCTCTGCTGGGTTCTGGTGCTCTGCTTCAAGGTAGGACGCGAGAAGCAAACGCAAACAGGCATGATTTTAGTGTCTTTTGTTCTTATCTCCTGCTCTTTATCTGTCTTTCAGGCTCTGTTTGTGTTTTGCTAACGGTTCTTTGTGGTTTTCTTCAGCAGGGGGGTAGTTGAGGGTAAACCTCTGCTGTTCTGTTAGTCTGCACACACTGAAGGAACTACAGGCCAACTGTGGATTCAGCTGCAGGTATGTTATTCTTTCTCTCTCCATCCTCAGTTATGGGTTTTAGACTGATAACACACTGCAAAACAGGATTCAATTCAAATGCAAATCTCACTATCCTTTTTCTTACAGGGTTTTAACACGTTTATGAGTTCCCAACTTTCTCTAAAAGCCTTCTATAAAGTTCTACCAAGACGTTCAGGCTGTTACTTCTTCATTTGTCTGAACATGTTAGTGTTTTTTAACATCACGATTGTGCAGTGTTAATGCTGAGTCATGTTTAAACATGCCGGTTTCAAATATCTAGATGAATTATCGGAGCTCAAAGCTTCTCTCGAATGTCAAAACATTTACATAAACCATTTAGAAAGAGCATGTTTGCACCATGAGGTAAGAGTGAACAGATGATGATATGTATGCATTTGTCCTTCAGCCCATTTAAGATTGTATTCAGTGATGAAATGCTCGATGTGGCCAAAACTTTTCGCATGGATCAAACCTTTGGCTGATAGCACCTGTGGTGTGTTTGGATATATAGGAGGCAACAACAACAACAGTACTGCAGTTCACATGCTCTTTTGATGCTTGATTCCATTTCCAGCACCAAGGCAGCGTGAGGCAGATTAACTCCTTCTTTCCCACATAGTTTTTACTTTAGAGTATAAGTTTAAAAGTCCCATGTAATTAAAAATGGACTTTTGAGGCTTTTAGACTGTTAGTTTTGAGGCAGTGCAATTTTAGTATTATTAATATAATGTTACTATTTAGTTATTTATATAATATATTGATTTCGTTTTTTATGTATATTTTCCATGTTCATTTTAATTTTAGTTTAAGTTTTAGTAATTTTGCTATGTGCTTTGTCATTTTTAGTATGTTTTTTTTTTATATTTCTATTTAACTTTCATTTATTTTTATTCTAGTGTTTAATTTTCATTAACAATTTTAGTTTGTCTAGTAATACTGTTATGTGCTTTTGTCATTGTTTAATATTTATATTCAGCTTTATTTATATATAGCTTTATTTATTTCAGTTTTTAGTTTTTATTTTATTCTTTGTAATTTTTCATGTGCTTGTCATTTTTGGTTTATACATTTCTTTTTAGCTTTAATTTATTTTTATTTCAGCTTTTAGTTTTAGTACTTCAACTTCAACTTTTTTTAGTTCAGTTAGTTGCCAATAAATATTTTTTTTTTTACATTTTAATTTAATTTTATGTTTGTTTTTTAATCTTTTATATTTTTATTTTATTTTATTTCAGCTTTATTTCAATTAACGAAAATAGTTTTAGTTTTAGTTAACAATCCTACAAAAAAATCATATTATATATATATATATATATATATATGTATGTTTTCCAGTTAAAATATTTTAAACAAATTAAAAAAAAATAATAATAAAGAAAAAGAAAACCTTGGTCGTGTCCAAATTTAAACCATTCGTGGGCATGCCCAAATTTCTGACCAGGTCCAATTGGGCAGTTTTAGGTCACCTTTGTAGTCTAATATTGTTCTTAAATATTCATGAATCTAAGATTTGCAGTTTTTAATACTACTTTGTTGGTTTATTTTTCTCATTCCTCATTTTCATGCAGCATACTGTTGGAAATGAGAGCAAGACAGTTCATCTGAAGAGGATAATCTTGGAAACCAAGCAACTGAACAAAAAGATGGGGGTGAACATCTTTGCTTTGACAGTGTTCACCTTGAGTCACCTGTGGCCACATGTCCAAGCTTCAAGTGTAGTTCGGTTAAACACAGGGCTTCGGGTAACCAGAGGCCAGTCGGTATTTGTCACGGCTGGTGAACTTCAGTTCCACACGGATGGGGTATCTGAGGCCTGTAAAGTCGAAGTAGTGCTCACTGAACCCATCACACAAAGAGTGGGGAAACTCACTCCTCAGGTAACAAAACAAATCCAGAATTAGCTTATGCATTCCATAAAATGTGAGAATAATAAATGATAAAATCATTTATCATTTTTCAGGTTTTTGACTGCCAGTTCTTTCCGGATGAGGTGACGTATGTTCACAATGGCAGCCCACTTCTAGAAGAGGACACTGTCATGCTGAGGGTCTACAGGTGAAACATTATGTGGTCATTATTCTTGTCCAGCACAAACATTTTATGGCTGTTACTTCAATTAGGGCTTTTGAGAGCTGCAAAAATCCTATTTCCTTGGCCTAATGTCATTTCCATCCTCACAAACGCTTTGTTTTATGCCTGTTCTTAGGTTTACAGAAACTGAGACTTTTGTTGAGACTGTGCTGCTAAAGGTTCATGTGGTGGAACCTCAAAGGAGCCTCACAGAGCTTGGAAATGTTCCTCTAGTGGTTTCTGAGTTCTACAGCCTTTCCAATGCCATCAATAGCAGTGTCCTTACCTTTAAAAACCAGCCCGAAGTGATCTGCACGGTACGTCTTCTCAGCTCTGAGATCAACATCCCAATGCTTGGTCAACTGGTCACTGAGGATCCTGAATCAATGCCGGCTTCTGAGCCTGGACCGAGAAAAGGTATACCAAGTGTATAATGAAGCTTTTTAAAAGCTTTTGTGCATCAATTAACAGTCACGTGGTAAAACCAACTAAATCATGTGGTGCAAACTAAGGTGTAGAAAAGAAACAGGACCTCCATGACTGGGTGTTAAGGTCAATAAGTCTCTTAAAATATCAAATAATTTGACCTTTTTATGACAAGACAAATTTAGTACACATTGTAAAATGTCATGAGGTACAACACCCATAAAACATTATTATTATGAATTAATAATTAATTATATAACTTTTTACCTTTTAAATTTTACACCTTTTATATTTAAACATTTAAATGTAGGCTATAGAGAAATAATGTAATGTGGTGTGTCACCCTAAAAACATAATTTTTATGAATTTATTATATTTGTAAAACATATTTTTTACCTTGGAAAAAGTAGATTAAAAAACTTTTTTGAAAACGATTATAATGTATACGGATATAATGTCATGTGCTGTGACACCCTAAAAATAAAAATAGTTTTTAAAACTTTTTTGAAAATAATGGTTACACCACATGACTTTTTTTCTTGAATGTGCAGTAATAAAAAAAAAAATTAATACAAAGAATATATTTCTAAGAATTTCTCATCTGCATTCAAACTTTTCAAGGACGTCATACTGGAATCACCTGCCCAGGAAATAAAGTCTGTGACCACAACACAAGAGAAGTAGAGTTCTTGAAGACCGACTGCGCCGAGTTCCTCACTTCAGGTCTGAAGTACCAGCACCTCAGTCCTCCATCACCTGAGATTGATTATATCCCAATCAGGGTGGAGTTTAGGGACCAGACCTCCCGAGCCATGCTGGAGGTAAAACACATCAGAATCAGTTTGTATGAAAATATAACACAAGCCACTGAATCCTTTCTTTCCTTTCCTTTCTCTTAGACTGAGAGTATCTGGATACCTGTACTGATCCAGGGGGCCATGCAGAACCAACCCCCCAGTGCTGCCTTCATGTCTACATTCATCCTGGAGGTAGATCAGTTCATCCTCACACCCATGACCACTGCTGCCCTGGATGCAAAAGATGACGAGACCCCTCAGGCCCGGCTGATCTTCAATGTGACCAAACCTCCAGCGGAGGGATATATAACTCATTTGGATGATCACACCAAAACTGCATTCTCCTTCTCATGGCAAGACCTGAATGAGATGAAAATTGCCTATCAGCCCCCAAACAGCAGTCACACAGCCAGGAGGAACTATGAGGTTAGTGAGTGCCTATAAATTGTTGCACTCGCTGTACATGTTACAGGCAATAATGTTTTTACAGGCAACTGTATTTTTTAAATTTTTTATTAATTTTTTTTTCCTTATCCAAAAACCATGTCTATTAGTCTAGCCCAGGGGTTTTCAAACGTTTTGATGGCATGGACCTCTAAACAGCATTGTCTCTATATCTCTATCCTTAAATTTAAAGGCAGCTATATATATATATATATATATGTGTGTGTGTGTGTGTGTGTGTATATATACATACATAAATACATATTATTATTATTATTACAAATATATTATATAAATACCCATTTATACCAGAATTGTTATTGTTAACTGAAACTGTTAAAAGTCATTTTCATTAACTGAAATTAAAATAAAATATTAAATAAAAAACTTGGCGACTAACTGAAATAAAAGTTCCAAGATTACTAAAAATAAAACTGGAATAAAATACATTAAAGCTGAATAGAAAATAATAATATAATAATAATAATAATAAAAATGGGAGCACATAACAAAATCACTCAGATTTAAACTAAACTTAATGCTAATTCTAATTATTAATGAATACTATAATAGTAAGTAAATAATACTAAAATAACCGTTTTATATTGTAGAAAAGATTATTATAAATGTGTATATAATATACATTCATAATATTATAAATGTCTAAAAGTATTTTTAAAGTAATTACTGTCTTGTGCACTGTATTTTTTTATTGTTGTTGTTTGTATCTTATCTGTGAAAATAATTAAATAATTAGTATTTAATGTGACTTCCAACCAGTGCTTGGAAAGAAAGATGATGTGTAATATTCTATAAAAAATAATGTCAAATTTAATCAAATTTAACTTCATTTATATTGTTTTTTACTTCATCTGTTGTCCAGGTGGAGTTTCAGGCCATCGATGGCTCATTTGTGCCGAGTCCTCCTATCTTAATGCACATCTCTATCCGCACTGCAGAGACCAATGCTCCTCGAGTCTCATGGAACATGGGTAAGTTAGCGGATTAACTAAAATAGATAATCTTTTAAATGAGAGACTGAGGCTAAACATCTCTATTCTTACAGGGTTGGATCTGCTGGAAGGCCAATCCAGACCAATCACATGGGAGCACCTACAGGTTGTTGATAACGACAACATAGATGCCGTCACCCTTATAGCTATGGACGGCCCACTTAATGGACACTTAAGTGTTAGAGGTAAAGGATTCTAATCAGTCACCTCTCTGAAAGTAGAAACCAATCCAAATGTAATTTCCATGACCTTTTTCCACTGATGAGTCATAGTCTCATAAAGTGAAACCTACTCTTTTATTCGTTCTCCATCCATGTGGTAACCATCCTTAATGTGGGCATCATTCATGAAACATATGTCCGGGTGGCCTGCATGGGTTTGCTAATCAGGTGCAAAATGCTTCGGCGACACTTTACCAGGGGCCGTCGACCAAAGATGTCTTTAGAGCCGTAGCGGCTGTCTTTCCACTCCAGCAGACTTTTGTTTGCACAGACCCAGAAAGAAGGCTCATGGCATTTTAATGCCAGATGTCCAACACAAGGTCATTTCTCTTCCATCAGATGATTATCTTAGCAAGCTTTGAGAACTGGTGACAATCATGTGTCTATCTGAAAAGTTTTATCCATTGGAATATTCCAAAGTAAGAAATTAATGGGATAGTTCACCCAAACAGACAATCAAACATATTTGGAATAACATGAGGTCAAGCAAATGATGACAGAATTTAAATTTTTGGGTAAACTATTCTTTTAATCCTTGGTTTCTTTGAAGGAAAGGCAGAATTGTGATTTCAGGGATTGAATGGAATGTTTTGCTGCATGCATTCTCCCATGGAAGCTGCGGTAGGTTGTTTTTGTGTTTCCTGGTTTGGAGGATTTCCAGACCCATGGCCCCGTTCCTTGTCTCATTCTCTGACAGAAGACCACCTGATCAGCAGAAGCCTCCAGCCTACTCAAACAACAGCTCCTGCTTTTAGCCAAACCCTTCATTTAATTGGTGTTTACGTTTTTGAGGTTGACGTGTCACTTTGTGATCCCTCTTGCTGAGAGCAGAATCGTCCCATAACATTGGCTCCAAATCCGCTTCACAAGCACCTCATTTTACTACAGGCTGATTGAGCTAAACAGCAAGTTCTGGTCCAGAATGGACCGGTCTCTCTTGAAAACCTAGATGGGGATTGGGAATTGCTCACGTAGACCTCAAACGCAGGGACTCCGACCCTTGGGATAGTCCTCAGTCAGCCTTCGGCCAAATGGAAAGCTGCCGCCCAATGTCCTCTTCCGTCGAGTATGACAGCACAAACTCCATGAAAAAAGATGCAATGGTTCCAGTGCTTAAGTCCTTTACTCAGGTCTGAAACATGCACACAAATAGGTTTCCTAAATGTTGTACGCTATTGAAATTTGAGTGCAAATAACATGCCTCTTCAGTTAGATATTGTCTTTTTTGTCTTCCACAGCATGCAGTGAATCACCACAAAGTGGCTTACATGCCTCCAATAGAGGATATTGGCCCTGAACCTCTCTTTGTGCAGTTTGTGCTTTCTGTGAGTGACCAGCAGGGCGGCGCTCTCACAGGTCTCACCTTCAACATCACAGTCATACCTGTTGACAACCAGGCCCCAGAAGTAAGTTTTTAATTGGCCATCAAGAAACGATCCAACAGAGTACCCAAAGTTTTAAATAAAAAAAAATTGATTTCATTTAATTTCCCAAACCTTCTTTCATAGATGTTCACTAACTTGTTGAGGGTCGAGGAAGGTGGTGGTAGTTTCTTGATGGAGGAGCACCTCCTGGTGCAGGATGTGGACAGCTCAGAAGATCAGCTCAGGGTTCACATGAAGACTCAGCCCCAACATGGAAGACTGGAGCTGCAGGGCACAGCAATGCTAGAGGGAGACAGCTTCAGTTTGCAGGACCTAAAAGCATTGAGGGTCAGGTATGAATATGAAAAACTGTAGTTAGAGATTATTTTTGTAAGGTTAAAAATTTTGTCTGGAAAATCATGTCTTAAGAAATATTGATGAGGATGACTTTATGATCTGTAAATTACAATAGATACATTCATGATGACTCTGAGACCCTGAAGGATAGCATTGGTCTTACTATCACAGATGGAATCAACTCTGCATATGGAACGCTTTTAGTTCAGGTAATTTCCTGTTTAAAAAAAATAGTATTGATGTTTGGCAAAGGATATTGTATTTCAGTGCAGCATTCCCTTATTAAAATGCATATTTCCTTAGTGCTTTTTATTTGCATTTTTTATTAGATCCTGCCTGTGAACGACGAACCCCCACAGTTAGGCTACGACTTGAGGGCTGAACTGTCCTGCAAAGAGGGGGGTCAGGTCCATATTACGGTTGAGTATCTCTCTGCTACAGATGTTGACAGCGAGGACACTCGGCTAACATACATGCTTGCCAGAACACCTGCACGTGGGGTGCTGCAGCGAAATGGGGTCACCGTGGACAAGTTCTCCCAGCTGGACATGCTAAATGGGCTCATCTTCTACCTGCACACAGGTTATTACCGAGATAGGAGACTAGTTAGTGAAACTTAATGTCACTTACTGTAGGCCTGTTTTACACATTCTGCACCTGTGAGTGGGTGCGTCACACATAGTCTTGTGAAAATATACTGAAAATGCACAACAAAATGGTTTATTAAGAATGACAGGCTTTCCGACATAATATTAAATAATGTAGAGAAATACCATCAGCTTGATCTAATAAAATTCAGGCTGATACTGATAAACCAAATTATTTAAATAATTATTAATACTAAATAATAGTCATATGTTTTAAAGTAAAATATACATTTTTAATATTTTTAATCTTATATTGCATTATATAAATTATATGATCTTATATAACATTAGTTTAACTTTTAAAGATAAACTATAAGTGAGCATTAGATGACGGCAAAAGTAATCTAAATGTACAAATGAAGAAATGAGCATGCACAATTAAAAGAAACAAGTAATATTGGCTAATACGGTAACAAAAATTGTCTGTCGCAGAAGCAGGATGTATGTAACAGGCAGGCTTCATAGTAAATGTCTTATGACTGAAAGTACATTAAATGTATTTTTTGTGAATTAAATGAACAAACACATTTCCCCATTCACTAGGTGGTGAGATTGGACCAGATCCTGTCTCAGACACTGTCACTCTCATTGTGTCAGATGGAGAGGCTGGAACAATAGATGACTGCTGCCAGGAGGATGCTCTCCCCCCACCCGTCCCCCTGCATGGCACGCTTCCGGTCTGTGACCTCAACATCACTGTGATGCCCGTTAACAACCAGGTCCCAACCATAACGCTGGGTAAACATCTACCACAGGGCCTGTAGTAAATCTCTTAGTGGAGAAAAGACATTCCGAACACTGGTGCTGCATTGTGTTGAGGGACCGAATGGATTAAAAGATGCTCTCTAATCTAGATTTAATCACCAGAGCATTTGGCTAAGGTGTAATTAATTCATTGTAATGACAATCCACATAAATCAAGCAATAAAGCAACTAGGAATTTTCGAGGCAGGTGATGGACTGCAGCTTGGTGAATGAATCACTTAATCGCGGTCTCGCATACCCAGCTCAGGGAGTGTGGCTAATGCAAGCGTTTCATTCCCTCGAACGTACGTTTCGAAGCAGGGTGTTAGAGACGTCTTGCCAGGATGGGGATTTCACTGTTAATGCCAGAAACTTTGCAGTTATCAATGAAGGACAGTGACCAGAGCAAGACTATGAGCAGAAGACCGCAGCTAGGTGCCGGTGGGACATCCACAGAAAATCCTAGCATGCTTGGCATCGTGTATGAGTGTCGACAGACATACACACAGCTGGTTGGGATTATAGAGAGAGCAGAGCATGTGTGGCAAAAAAGCGCAGTAGAAAGAGATACATCTTCCCGTGAGAACAACTGGACAATAGGGACATAGAGGAGAAGACAATGGACAGGCCTGCATTTGGAAAAGACAACACGTCCATTGTGTCTTCTATCCCTTTTCTCATTCAATCACAATTATAATCTCCTAATTCGGTTAATCCCCATCAGAAAAAAAGAGGATTCTCCAATGTTGCCACCATGTAGTAGATCTGGATTGGTTTGTGAGGAAAAATTGGTTTGTGTCATTTAATTAATTTGCATTGAATAAAGACGGGTTGGCATAAGAGTTTTAAGCACAGGAAAATGAGGGAAATCCAGCTCTTGCCTTGCTACTGGACGAGTTTTATCACTTTTACTCCAGACTGGTGGTCATTAATTCCTCCCCTTAATTCCTCCCCTTGTTTCAGAGCTCTATCCAAGCACAACCTCATCAGTGACCATTCTCCATTCATTATTTATCAGTGCAGTAAATGGAAGCAGATGCCAGTAAGCATTGGCATGATGGCTTTATCAACACCCAGGTGGCAGCGGGCTGGCCGAGAGCCGAGCGAGAGAGCTGGGGAAGAGAGGGAGTATTAGTGGGGTGGCATAGCAGGCGTGAGGAAAGAGGGGAGCAAGGGGAACTGCCTGTAAAAAGGGAAAAGAAGAAAAATAATGGGATGCACTCTTGAGAAGGAAAAAAATAAGCATGCTTCTGTGAAGTCACATTTAGCTCTCTAAAATGACATCTCTATGATTAATGCCAATATTACTACTACTACTAGTTATGCTGTATATTGTTTCTTCAGGTAACATGTTTGTGGTAGATGAGGGTGCCAGTGCATGTCTGTGTGGGGGGGTTTTGGAGGCATCTGATCCTGATAGTCATCCAGACCAGCTCATGTTTCACTTGGTGACCCCGCCACAATATGGGTTCCTGGAGAACACCCTTCCATCCCCTGGCTTTGAGAAAAGCAATGCTGGACTCCGAGTGGGTCAGTAGTATTCCTGTAAATGTACCCAACTATTGTGACTATGCCAAGTAGGGTGTGTTTTTGGATTAACAGCTATTGTTGGTCCTGGAACAACATTCCTCTCAAACAAACATTGTCTTCTAATCCTAAAGCTAAAAGGTGACCTCATTTACATACACTTAAAAGGATATTTTACCCAAAAATGAAAATTGTCATCATTTACTTACCCTCATGTTGTTCCAAAGACTTTCTTTTTCTTTGAAACACAAAAGTTTCATACATTTTTGTTTGCATCCCCACTGACTTTCATTGTATGAACAAAACAGTTAAAATAAACCATTTAGGGGATTAAGAGACAGAATTACAATACTAGCCCTGAGCTACTATCCCTAAAATCCAAGAACATGTCCTACTTGGCAGAATCACGATTTATCTTTTGTGTGTCCTGTTTAAATTATGTGTCCTATTATAAGACCTTGTCTTTCAGATCGCTAAAGTCATATTGTATAAATAAAGTTTCTTTCAGCCAGCTCCACCTCAGTTCGGGTTTCATCAACTATGTCCAGTCAGTGCACAAGGGTGTAGAGCCTACAGCAGACTTCTTTACCATCACTGTCAGTGATGGGATTCAGAGATCAGCACCATTGCCCTTCTACATCATCATCAACCCTACCAATGATGAGATCCCATCATTGCTGCTTAGCAACTTCACAGTAAGATATAATTTTTGGAGACAAATTTATCCAATAAGCAAACTGTTGCCTAACTATTGTCTTGCCCTGCACCTTGCGATAGGTCATGGAGGGAGGGATGAAAGACCTCAGTCCTGATATTCTAAATGCAGTGGATGGTGATATTCCAGCAGATACTCTTACCATGACCATCCTGTTTCCCCCAGCCCATGGCACACTGGTCAATGGCATATATGGTCTCAAGATGAATCGCTACAAAAACATGAACCCAGAGGTCCTCCAACGAACCTTACCAATCCAGTCTTTCACCTTACAGGAGCTACAACAAGGTCAGTTTTTGAATCCATGTGATCGGTATTACCACAAACTTTTGCCCTCTAAATTCCGGGGTACCACTATCTGCTTGTTGAGGATGGCCATGAGGACAGAGTCCCTTCCCTGGTCCAGCCACCCCTCAGTGCTTTCACTGTGGGTATCCAGGCTTACAGAACAGATTTTGCAGGAGACAGAGGTCACAGAGTGCATGTGGTGCTTCTGCTTCACCTGCAAATCTTTCCAAATGCTCTCTGTGAAATTAAGTCACCGTGCATGAGGTACTTTGGTGACTGCACAGCTTTGCTTGTTAACAAGTGACAAAAATCAATAAAAACACGGGTGATCAGGTCACTGACAAAATGGAGCGTTCACTGGTGTCCTTCTTGGTAGTAGTGGTAGAACCAGCTATATCAGTCCAAGGCTACCAGGAATCAAGTACCTAATGACTGTTATATCCTAAATGTCACTAAATGCTTAATCCACTAAAATATTTTTTATTTTTTTTCTCTCTTGTGCTGATCCATAGGAATGAAGATTATGTATATGCACGACGACACAGAAACCCTCAAGGACGCTTTCACCATACAGTTGACAGATGGTGGGCACACAGTCCAGGGGACTGCGTGTGTCCGCATCATACCAGTCAATGATGAAAAGCCATGGCTACTAAAGTAAGGACGCCCTGGGACAAATTCAGAGCCAAAAAGGCGGATGAAAGCGGGAATGGGGGAGGGATTTTAGTGGCGGAGACTGGACAGGCACAGAAGGGGGAGGCCGATCCTGGATAGGTTTTAGGGAAGGGGGGTCAACACAAACTGTACTGCACATGTGGCTGGGGATCTGTGTCTCCCTGACTGAGTAACTGGGAATTAAGTTACATCCTTGAGTAAATTGCTAATGTCTATTCCATCCTCTTCCTCCAAAATCGGCAAGATCTAAGAGTGTGCATGTAAACTCCACAACAGCAGAAGTAATGTGTCTTTTTGGCAGATGCCTGCTTCCTTGTTTTAAAGTCCTTATGGATTAGGATAACAGGCCGGTCCTGCTTGTGTTCCCTCCTTCTAGAAGCAGCTGTTTGTGTATTTATTTATTTAGGATTCTAGATTTTAGCATGCAGACTTGGCACTGGTACCTTTAGTGCCCAAAGCGTCTCAATCTTTGTTCTCAGAAATGCAGGCATTGAGGTCGAGGCCCTGGAGAAGAGAGTCATCTCCAGTGCAGTGTTGGAGGCAGGGGATCATGACACTTCCAACGACCATCTTCTCTACATCCTCAATGCAGGTCCCAGATTTGGCCTACTTCAGCTCAGGGTTAGCAAGGACGGATAGTCCTTTACATTATTACTTAAGGCTGGAATACACTACACAACTTAAAATCTGAACAGATTTTGAAGCACTAGGCATTACACACTTGCAGACTTTGTGGTTACAGAGAAAAAATTGGGCGTCATAAACTAAATGACTGAGGATCACATACTACCAGACTTTCAAGTCACCCGAACAAAACAAACATTGTCATTGCTAGGAGACGGATGACAAATTAAAACTATAAGTGTTCTAAAATTGGCTCAAAATATCAAACATGTTTGATATCCTTTGACTTAATGGAATCACAGAATGGAATCATCAATGGGATCAAATCTGGGCAAAAGTCATGTAGTGTAATCCAGCCTTTAGTGTGACGTATTTTAAGAATATATGTAATAATATGATTTTCTGTGATTTCCTGCAGACAGAAGCTGGATGGATTGACCTGAGTCCAGGTCAGAATTTCACCCAGGAAGATGTGGAGATGAATCGCCTATGGTACACTCACACTACAGTTAGTGGTTTCAAAGGCCATGACAGGTTTCACTTTGTTCTCAGTGATGGAGAAAACACAACACCTCCACAGAGTTTCTTCATCTCTGTCCGCACTGTTCAAAAGGGTAAGTTTTATTTTGAACAAAATAAAATAACTATAAACCTAGCAGGAACTTGGCGTGGCTCAAAAACAGCACTTTTACATTTATTTTTTCTCCTTGAAGCACCAGGGTTATGAAGTTTGGCAGCTGCAATGACATATTATGACCATTTAAAATTTGTCCAATGACATTATAGCACTGGCATAGTGACAAGTCAATTTGCATTTAGTGACTCAGTGATCGCTGCTTTTGTTTTTCCCTCAGTCAAAGTCCAAGAAAAACAATTTTGTTGACAGATTAAATCTGTGCATTTATAATTAAAAACAATGGCTTTCCCTATGGCCAAAATGACTTTGCCAGTTGGGTGAACATGGAAGCATGGCAGCCATTGTCCCCTTGGCTTCATTCTGGCTTATCCTGGAGGAACAGAGGTGAGAACGTTCTGCTGCAAAGGATGAGCCACCTTTAAATGCCCAGCATGAATTATTAACAGAGCTAGGGCCAAACATCTGTAGTCCCGGCCCTAGATCCCAGCACTGTCCCTGCTGTCACAAACAAATCTCATACAACATCAATAAGCTTACTTGCACATAACTTGCTTTATAAGTAACATGTTTACATTCTTCAAAGCTTTACATATACTCATGTATATGCCTCTGTAATCCAACTGACCTTCTTGCCGCATACAGGTGAAATCACTCTAATCACTAAACCTGTGACCTTGATGGAAGGAGAGCGAGTCATTCTGACCACTGACATTCTGATGGCCACAGACAGTGGAAGCGAGCCAGATGAGCTCATATACACTGTATCAGTCCCACCTGAACATGGTCACCTACACATGGTCCAAAGTCCAGGGATTCCAGTGCTTTCCTTCTCCCAGATGGATGTGGCTGCCAACCGGGTATGCTACACTCATGACAACAGCCGTTTTGCTGACCGTGATTCTTTCAGGTCAGTGGTTTTCATTGTTCTTTTTAGATTAAATAGACTTCATTTATACTCTATGACAAAATACATAGATGCCATTTTTGCTCCTGCCTGTTTAAATTCACTCAAGACAAATTCAACTGTTTTGACATGAGTACGCACGTCAAGGTGCACTACACTATATATATTTGAATTAATAATAAATAACATTACATAATATATATCATTATATACATTTGTGCAATTTAGTCTAGCCCACAGATGGCAACACCTCAGTATTTTTAAAACAATATTGAAAATTATGTACACAAGTAGCAAGAGACAGGCAAAATAAAAAGGATAATTTTTGCTTCGTTTGCATGGGTTTCCAGCCAATTTGGCAGCAGGCTGACTTCAGTCAGGGCGTACAGTTGACCTGTGCTGCCTTTCTCGTGTGAATCTTTGACACCCAAAACTCTGGCTTGGTTTCATCGTTGGGTCATCTGGGAGCAAACAAACCTTCCTGAGCCAAGCCTGACGAGGGGCGAGTGGCCCTTCGGAGAGAGTACGGATTATTCTGTGCCAATGTGTTCAGTCAGCACAGCATGGGGTGGTATGGGGTCCAATCAAAGCACATGGACACTACAGTGTTAGTCATGTGGGGCCTGAGTATTTTCAATTAGCAATTCCGACACAATCACAAGAGATTGGGGGAAAACTTGGTTATAATATCTAATGGATTCATTATTTGAAACCGTTTTTGTGTCTTCATAGCTTGTATTTGTGTTAATGCGAGGCAAAAGAGGCAGCTTGCGACAGCCGATCTCCCTGATCGGGAGAGACACCTGAGCAAACACCTGTGTGTCAAACTCCAGTCCGACAGTGGGGGCCAAAAGAGACAGGGAGACTATTTTTTCTAGGAGCCTTGTGTCTCCCTCTGCTCTGCTGTGACAGCTGATGATAAATGGCCATTATTAAGAGAGTAATAACTCAGCCTGGCATTGGTTATATGGCTCTAAGAGATGTAGTCAGAGACAGGGATCCCTGGGCACAATTACAGAGCAAATATGGCACAATGGCAATGCCAGATGTTGCACCAGTTTGGCTGTGAGAGTGGACCTGCGTGTTTGGTTGCGAGTCTAGTGCGAGGTGGCAGTCGTGTTGTTTACCATGGCTGGCAATTATCAGCTTCAGGGTAATATGTGTTGGGAGGCAGATTGGCTTGGCAGAGGGTAGAATGGGGACTCGGCTCGACTCGCACCCCTCCCTGTCCCATCTTTCTGCTCCAACGCATCAACGGTGTTGGGTGAGGATAGCAGCTCAGAACATGCTGTAAAACTGACAAGACTTTAGTAAGGCATGAGGGGCTGTGTGTTACAGTGATTTTACAACATTTAAAAGGTGCAAGGCCAGAGTGAAAACTGCACTAAAAGCAATGTGATAAAAGATAAATGAAATAATAAAATAGAAGATAAATAAAATTTGTTAATAAAAATACTTTATAGTTATTAATAATAATAATAATAATAATAATAGTGATAGTAATATACCCAAAAAAAACTATCAATACTATTATTGCCAAGTAATTTTCATAATACAGTATTTACTTGATGTGTTCACTGATGTGCATATGTCAGAATTATTTCTACCGCTTCAAACAAGGCAGTGAACAGTGTTCACATATAAAAGCAGTCCAACCAAATTCTTCCCATAATCTCTTCTGACACAAAATATGTTCTCTCATGCAGCTTTGCCGTTACCAACGGTGTAACGTCCAGAAGAGGTACCATTCATTTCACTGTGGAACACAGTGACCGTATACCACCAACCCTGACTATCAACAAAGGCCTTGAGCTCACAGAGGGCTCTATGAAGACCATTTCCACTGATGACCTGAAACTGACTGATCCAGACACAGCTCTGGAGAATCTCACCTACATCGTTATTCAAAGCCCACAATATGGAAAGTTGCTCTTGAAAAGATTACCCATCTCTAAGCCTCGTTTCACGCAACTGGACATCAACAACATGGATCTAGCTTACCATCATCTGAATGGACAGGCCAAGATCGACAGGTTCACCTTTCAGCCTACTGATGGAACTAACACAGGTTATCTGGAGTACGGACAGCTGAAGAGAGAACCTGCTGTTTTTACCATACAGGTAGGTTGATTATGATTTGAGAACATTCACCCACAACCAATATAAATATTCTAAAATATAAGTAGATACACTTACAAGTACAACATGCCTACAAAATTACTAATTTATACACTGATATTAACTACAACCCCTTACAAAAATGTAACATGGTACTTCAAAATACCACAGTGATTGCAGGTGGCATTAGGGGGAGGGGCATTCTCATTCGAGAGAGCACCTGATTGGACAAATATATGTGTAGTGCAGGATGAGTCTTCTATATTTTTAGTCCATTTTACTTGACAAAAAAACAAAACACACACAAAAAAACACTAATTTTAAATGTATATATCTCATGAAGGTGAATTCAGTAAGCGTTTAGGAGTCCAGTAGCACATCAATAACCTCAAAGCGAACAAATATTGACTAAAACACACAAAATTGTATTACATCGATTTCTAAACGAATTAGATAACGAATGTGATAACGATATGGCACTGCTTACTATGCCATTTCTGTCAGAACTTTTCTGAGGAAAATAATTTTTTTTGGTTTAGCCTAGTTAACATAACATGACTTGCATACAAACCACCGAGCACAGCAGGACAGCTACGGGTTAACAAAGCGCTCCCGGTTGAATTGCATGTTAACGAAGAGGCTTCGCTGGCCAGGTGCTCCTGCAGGTCCGGTGCCATTCACCATGTCATAGCGTCGCTCTCTCGAGGCCCGCGCCACCATTTAATATTCCGTTGACTCGGTCAGCGAAGCGGCAAACGCGCTGGCCAGCACTACCAGCCCTGTGCTACTGAGAGAGAAGGCCGCTCCCGCCAGAACCGGTGCGTGCAGCGTGCACACCGTCACTTGGCTGAAGATGCGCATTGCTAACTTGAGCCAAAATGTGTTTTTGATAGCAGTGGTTTGGAAACCCTCTCTATTATTTAAAAATTTCTAAACTAAAATGTCACCATGGTCATATATATTTTATTAAAATATATCCTTTTTTTTGTTGTTAACAAGTGAACAGATGGTGGGCTTTAAATTAATATTTTAATTGTCTCAAAAAAGGGTATTTTTATGAATATCAAAACTGTCATTTTTATTGGGGCAAGTTGTCACATGTGGTTAAATGTTATAAATGTATGCAATTTATTAGTTAGAATATTTGTGGGCATAAACATTGGCTTTATGTTGTGCAGCTATGTTTTCTTATTCTTTCTTAGATCATTATTTTGCTTTTTAAATTCAGCTGAAGAGCTTATAAAAAGGTGGGGTCTTTTTTCCTGAAAATGATGGTAAAGAAATAAAATGTATAAGTAAATTTAAAATTAACCTGAGAAATATTAATTGGAGTGTTATATTTATACTCTATTTAATTTATAATAACATTTTATTTAAAACTAAAATTTGAGAATCCAGTCAAAACACTTTTTCTTTTTTAATAAAACGATTTTTAAATAAATATAATAACAAAAAATTAAATTAAATAAGCTATGTATTTACATTTAATAACCAAGGAAAGATTAGGGAAAAGGCAAATACACTTGAAATAAGATTTAAACTACAGTGATTTGACTTAAAAATAAACCTGATAAATATTTATTGTAGTGAAAAGTGACAACTAGTTTTCCCTAAATAATGTATATTTGTTATATTTATAATAATATTTCTTTTTAAAATTAAATTTAAAGGTCCTCATTGTCAAGGCACTTGATTTTTTTTAATGAATCTCACTTCAAAATTAGATTTTTTTTTTCCATTTTGAAACTTTCTAATACTGTTAATAAAATAAAATAATCTGAATAATATATAACAAAAATATTGAAATATTTATATATAGATAATCCACAATGAGCAATGGCTATGAAATGAGTGCTTTCCCAGTTATGGTATGTAATGCTTCCCTCTAGTGGTATTGCAGCATGAATGCAGTTTTACTGTTCGCTCTCTGTAGATTTGACTGAACTATGCCATAATTTATATCTTCACAGATAGAGATATTGGACAAGATTCCACCCAGTGTTATAAACAAAGGGATTCCAAGTACTGTGGAGAATTTTCTGAATGGCAAACAGGGCATCTACATCACCTCCAAAGAGCTGCGCGCCTCAGATCCAGACAGTCCTGACGACACACTGGAGTTCACCATCACAAGGCCTCCACACTTCGGTTACCTTGAAAATGCCCTCACAGGCAGGTGCATGGGTCACCGATGGTCCAGACTGTCATTTGAATATGCACAGATTGTGACCAGATTATAATGAATTTTCTTCCTATTATAGGTGCCTATATCAAAGGACGCTTTACCCAGAAGGATCTGGAGCAGAAAGCAGTGCGCTATGTCATACCTGCAGACATGGAAGTGACAGCGGACAGCTTTGAGTTCCAAGTTACAGATCCTGCAGGAAACACCATGCTGCCTGAAGTGTATTTATCCTCTTCTGTTGATCATTTGTTTAACACACTGGAGTTCACCATCACAAGGCCTCCACACTTTGGTTACCTTGAAAATGCCTTCACAGGCAGGTGCATGGGTCACCGATGGTCCAGACTGTCATTTGAATATGCACAGATTGTGACCAGATTATAATTAATTTTCTTCCTATTATAGGTGCCTATATCAAAGGACGCTTTACCCAGAAGGATCTGGAGCAGAAAGCAGTGCGCTATGTCATACCTGCAGACATGGAAGTGACAGCGGACAGCTTTGAGTTCCAAGTTACAGATCCTGCAGGAAACACCATGCTGCCTGAAGTGTATTTATCCTCTTCTGTTGATCATTTGTTTAGATTTCAGTACAGAACTTTCATTAGTATGTGCAGTTATTGAATGTTAAAGGTGCATATACAACTTCATCAATTGAAAATATAAAGGACTGAATAGGACTATTTCTAAAATTAGAAAAAGTTATTTTAATTTACAGTGGATGTCAATCAGCTAAAAATTATGCACTTAGTTTCAGTAACCCACGTAGTAGTATCGCACACTTTTGGCTGGAAAATGAATTACTCAAGGGTGACAAATATGTCTGCAAATTTCTGACAGCACTGGCAACCTAAAAATGTTATCCACACCAGCAGGTGTCAGTACAAGTCCAAGATCACTTGAAATAGTCACAAAATGAAACATGAAACTGCTAATAATTTTACCAAATGACTCACTGAGCTCACTGAATGTGATTTTATAATAAGTAATAAGT